CCAGCGACGACTGGGACGCCGGGAGGAAGGAAGGGACGTGCCGCCCTGCGCTCCCGCTGCCTCCTTTGGGCGCCTGTAAATCCAGCGCTGCCCGAACCGGGGCTTGCGAGGACTTAGAAACGATGATGGGCTTTGTGGAAATAATCTCTTTGTAGTACTGTATGTGTATATATATCCAGATATTACCCATTAACCTCTGAGATGTGTAACTCTCTCCGAGGGCAGGAGCGCGAGAAGGGCCTGCCGCCTGCAAAGGCCGCCCAGGACGGGCTCCGTCCGGCCTCTTTGAAGCCCGATCCAGAGGAGACTTCGCAGGCTGTTCTGAACCCGCTCCGGCTAACTTTGCGTGCCCGTTTTGCCTGCCTGCTTTTAAATGTCCCTGTTTTGATCTGAAGGTCTTTAACTCCAAGGAAGGGGATGACGCTGAGTGAAGGGAAATAGAGGTTGAACATCAGGAAACACTTCATAACAAGGAGAGCTCTCAGGCATTGAAAGGTCTCGGCAGGAGGTGGTGGAAGCCCTACACTCTGCGCCATTAACAACCGAAAGGACAAAAGGCACTGGAGAATTTGGTGTAGGCAGGGGCAGCACCTCTCTAGGTCTGTTTATATATTGGAAATTCACGTTACAGACTAAAGAAGTGAGTCATACCATGGCAACGGTCCAATCCAGGCTTTTCGGGCAAGACCGCATTCCTACGAATTATACAGGAACCCATTTCAAAGTGACCGGGATTATTTCTCATTTACAGTAGTCAGTGAGATCTCAATCTCCCCTCAAGATTCTGCGCAGTCATTACTTGTATAAAGCTGCCAATAATTCCTTAAGACTTCACGCCCTGCCAGAGCATGGGGATCAGCTGCCCCTAGAGCCAGGCCACCCTTTCTTGGTCCCCTTCGCAATTTAAACCATCAGACCCTGCTTACGTGACCTCTTGGAGACAAAAATCTGGCCTTGGTTAACTCGAGGGCATTCGCATTTTTCAAACGCTGACCCTGAAAATTCACCTTCACAAGGCCATGCAGAAAATCTTGAGGGATGAAAATGATTCCTGAAACACACAGGCACAACTCCATGGGATTCAGTAAAATCCCTTCTCCTTAAATTAGCTGGGACATGGCCCCGACTTTTTCTATTTGTTTTAGGATCAGCAATATGTATACATTCCCAATAACACCCTCTCTGTGCAAGAAAATGTGTATATACACTTCGCATATTTCAAGGAGATTTCAAATATTCACTCACTAAATATTTTTTGTTTGGTTTGAATTTTTTCTTCTTCTTTAAAAAGCTTTTTCCAACATCTCGTCGCAAAACATGGGTAAATTTAGAAAGGAAAATGCAATTTCAAATCAGGGAGTCAACATCGTTAGTCTAGGGATGTTGAGGAAAACCAGACATTTCTCCAAATGAAAGATTTCAACGGGCTTAAACGTTTAGCCTTGGTTGCTGCTGAAATAATTCACCAAGGGCAACACACAGTGGGAATTAGGGATTATCTCTATCTGGTGCCCTGGCTGGATTTCGGGGGTGGGGGGGGAAGCCTGAACTGATAATTTTTCTCCTAGTTCCTGCTTTCTTGTACGTAGGGTTTTTTGCAGATCATCTCAAGGAAGACTGTGCTGTCCACCCCGGGCCCATGCTGCTATTGCTCGTTTGCACTGCCGGGCCGGCCGGAGAGCTCAGGAAGCTGCTGTGACACGCAGAGGGCCAGAAAGGGAGCGCTTTTGGGTGCAGACTCTCATTGGAGTAGGAATAGGGCCACAGAAAGAGGGGAGGGCAATGCTGCGGGCTCCTGTCTCTCTTTCAGTGAGCACTTAATATAAACTGGATACGCATTTGTAGAAGCACAAAGCTGATAGTAGGTCACTCTCTCAGCTGAGTGTCCTCCACCGAAGACGAACTGGGAGTCGTGGTCTTCTACTCTCTGACCCAGACAATAAAGGCATGTTCCCCACAGACTGGAAGAGGCTAGGGAGATGTACCAGGAAAGTCCTCCTCTACTCCACAACTGCCTACGCGTAGAAGATGAGAGCTTGAACCCCACAGGCTGGGTGAGAAATCAACCCCTAATGGCCTGTGTCCTGGGAGACACGTCCTCTAGACAGAGATCAGCTGAGTGGGGTTTTTGGAGGTCAGCAGCTTGGGTTTGCAATGCCTAAAGAGAGTATCTGCACAGATCTAGGACAGATCTAAGCATCTGGTGCTGCTTTTGATTTCTCCCGCTCTCTTCCTGCATTATACTATAGTTAACTTCTGGGTATTTTGGTTTTTTGTGCATTCTTCTGGCCATTACATGGACATCTGTGAAGTGGGGGCTGGATCTGATGATTCAGAAGTTGCTTTAGAGGAAAGAATCAAGCAGTGAAGTCCCCTGCTGCATCTAGCGCTCATCCTCTAGTGTACTCATCACAACTCTATGACTCTTCTTGATCCAAAATACAGAATAAAAATGGCAAGAAGGGTGTTCTCCTTTGAATGGAGGCAGTAGCTGTATTCCCATCAGATCTCTGAGCCGTAGCAACAGCAGGTTTTGCTATATGATGAGAAGCTGAAGGATGTTGCTGCAATATTGTGCTTAAAATCTGGAATAGTTGGAAGAATGATTTGGCAAGTTCCTGAGAATAGGATGGAGATAAAGAATAGGTACTGCTAAGTAGGAATGAATTATG